CTCAGAGACTCTCTGGGTCTCAGAGACTCTCTGGGTCTCAGAGACTCTCTTGTACTTCCGAGGAAAAGTCTGGTTGGATCAGTCAGGGACCGACTAGGAACTGATCCTGTTTAGATTCTTTCAGCGGTTCTGTTTTTTTAGTCATGTGGGTTCTGTTGAACAGGGCTTCTGTTTGTGGTGGTTTTTGGTTCTGATCATTTAGTGAGAGTTGAGGTCCATCCTGGACATATCTAGTCCACAGAGACACACTGATCAGAAAAGCAGACCTCTGAACCAGTCAGCCGACTAGTTCGGGGAAAACATGCAGAAATCTTTGATCTTTCTCTTTCTGTTCCAGTTTTCTCTTCTCTTGGACTCTCTGGGACTGTCTGAGACTCATTAGGACTCTTTGGGTCTCAGACACTCTAAGACCTGGTTTGGGTCAGTATCCCTTTTTTAGTTCTAAAACCTGTACAGGGTTCCATCAGCAGGACTCTGACTGGGAAAGTGTTTCCTGTTAATCAGCATCTCATTAAGATCTACTTGCTCCTTAGGGTCTACCAGTTTGTTATGTTCACTCTGTCAGTCTTATCTACAGAATCCAGTTTGAGTCGGTAGTAATTTGAAAGAGAGAGATATTAAAGGTTCTGATTCCTTCCTGGTTCTGTTCTGTTCATCTGTTCTGTTGATCACAGCCTCATCAGTGTTTATCTGATCGTATCCTGGTGTCAGATCCAGGAATTAAGAAAATTTGACTGAGGACCCAGGAAGAAGGATTCCTGGTTCAGAGCTGGTTCTATTTTTAAGCACTGATGGTTCCAATGTGGATGTTCTCAATTGATTATCTGAAGTCATGGATTTTAAGTTAACCTATAGAGACTCCTTTGTAAAAAGTCACAGAGAACACTTAGACCTTTTCTCTGGTCCAGTTGGTACCAGCTTTGTCTTGCACCACAAAGGTTCTGGGTTTGATTTTTGATGTTCTTGGGTTGCTGGTTCTGTTCCCTCCTGCCACTGACCCAGATCCTCTGCAGGGACGTTGCTAGAAACCGTCAATGGATCCACCAGATGTAGTTCAACTCTTATCTGATTAATTTGTTGATTTCATTTAATTTTTTTTTTATTTATTAAATTTTTTATGACAATTCTAATATTTTTTTCTATTTTAAGCTAAATAATTTTGTTTCCTTTAGTTGAATTATTTCATTAGGAAGTCTGCCTGGTTGGATAACAGTGCTATAAAACCATCTTCTTTACTTTGAAATATTGACTGTTTCCTGTATTTGCTTCAGTTTTTTCCTCTAACTGTATTCATTTCATGATTCTGGGATGATGCTCGATTTTCTTTTCCCAACAAACTAAATGTTCCCAGTTTGTCTCAAATCAAACCTTTTATGCTGCAGCAGCTGAGGCCTGCGCTGCATGGAGGAATCTCTCAGCTGTTGCAGAACCTTTTT